TCCGATCCCTACCCTCTAGTGTATCTACCACGCCTCCTAGTTTAGTGTCATGCAAAGGGCTTCCTTTGTCAAATGATCCACTACATTCCAATCTTTGGAAAAGTTTGTAAATATTTCAAGACAGGATTCTCTTCCAGTTCCCATTGACTGCCATTTTGGTTTGAATTCGCTGCCCCAAAACATTGGGGCCAAAAACCGAACTGCAGGTCACTGAAGAAGTGATGGTGAAGGGAAGTGAGATCAGCTTTGCTGATATGTCCCACTGTTGGGATCAAACTACAGTGTAAAGCAAAGGAGTGGATGTTCTACACATCCTGTTAAACCATACTTAGTATTATGGCTAAGAGAAGTAAAGCTACAGTAGTCTGCTACTCCCTGCCTTAATAACTGGTCCCTCAGTCTAGAGCGAGGGAAAACAAGACTTTCATAGGACTTTCCTTGTTATCTTACTGGCTTGGACAACACCAAATAGGCATTAAGATACCACAATGATTGGCACAGCATAAGAACCTGAATAGAATAGAAATATGAAGGGGTAATTGGCAAGCAATAGACAGGGACCAATAGAACAGGGAGGTTTGGACAGTGGGAATTTAGGTCACTGAAATTGTACTGTACATCATTGCCTCAATGAGGACTTGGGAGAAGTCATGGGTTCATGTTGTTAAGTATACTTTGAGAGCAGGGAATGAAGGATGCATTATACAAGGAAGAGATTAGTATTAATCTAAGATTATTTTAGTATTTCCTGATTCTCACAAATTCAGTGGTCAATGGTTGGTCCCAAGACTCTTCTCTGTATCACAAAGTCCACACACTTTGTAGACCTGAATGCCCTGGCATGGTGGACAGTCCTGGCTTGAGATGCCAATTCACCCTTTCTTGTTCATAATTTCACCAGTGGAGGAACGAAGGCTGGGATTTCCCAAGGAGCCTAAAAGAGGTAGGTGCCTAATTCCCATTGACTTGTAATGGAAGTTGGGTACATAACCCCCTTTGGCTCCAGACTAAAACAGCATTCCTGAAAGGCTTAGATGGAACAGGCAAAAGCCTGCTCATGTGATATGCCTCTTGTTCCATTTCCCATAGTGGCATAAAAGAGAAAAGGAAACAACTGAGGCCGGTAACACCAGTGGGGGATAGTGGACTCCCAGAGTAGAGAATCTGGCAATGATCTAACCTCAACCTTGATCTGCCTTTCTTGGCATAGTATTCGCTCTCCCACCACCTCTGAGTTTCAAAGATTCAAAGATTCACTAGCAGCAGAAGAAGCTAGACAAGACCATGACCTGGCCAGGCTCCATAGGACAAAGTGTCCATGGAACATATTTGTCCCAGTTATTTGGATGAGATTTTCTTTTCCAACAAACAGATTTTGCTCACCAGCCGCTGCCCACCAACACTGTTGGGTGATAGCTGTTGCCAGATACAAGGGATGATATTTTCCACCTCCTGTTTTAATACATCTGCCAGGTCCCAGAGCATGTTGTGTTGTAACTGAAAAAACAATTGCTTCTTATTTCTTAAAGAGCTGACCGCCTTCTTGCCCAGCATAAAATATTCACTAGAGTGTGTTAACTCATAAAAAGTTAGTTGATTGGTCCATTGCCTTATGCCTGTGGGCGGCCTTGGGCCAGATCCTCAGCTGGTTTCAATATGTGTAGCTTCACTGAATTGAATTTGTTGGCTCCAACAGAGCTACATTGATTTACACCAGCTGAGGATATAGCCCTGTGCATCTCTCCATTTCAAGCCTATTGTGATAATGATTTGAGCAGGCAAATTAACTGGCCAAAAATGCAGAAATACCAACCGTTGCTTCCTTCTCGACAACACATACAGTGACCGAGTGGACGTGTACCATCCCACCCACACGGAAATTCCAGGTGCAGAATTTCATCTAGTTCCTACTGGTCCAACTGGACAATGACCATCAGGTTTTGGAGCAGAACAAGGGACCTATTCATCTACTTGTTCCAAGGGCTACCAGTTCATGGGGCTCCTGGCACTTCAGTTGAAGGATTCGGATGGCGCTTACTGGAATTGTTACCAGGGCAAAGATGGCCGCATTTCAATGTGGTATGACATGATCTCTGAATAGATAGTGCTGGTTCTGGTGTACCGCCAGTGACTTCCCTTACTGTTACTGTCTCATTGTGATTTATCCAGGAGTGTGATCAGAATCAGGCACTATACATTTGTAAAGCACTTTGGAGTCCTTCACCATGAAAGGCACTAGGTTCCAAGTACAAGGCTGACATTAACAATGGAAGGGCAGAAAGACAGTGATTGAACCATGCCATTTCAATTAGCTCATGGGCCTGGTTCATCTAGTCTCGTTGCTGTACCACACGTTGAACAGGGAGGGAGCATTGCTGATCTACGCCTGCACCAGCGTAACACCATTATGGCGCCTACTCCTCCACCCCATTGGCATAGACCAAAAGTAATTCCACTGAGGTCAATGGAGTAACACTGATGTTTAACCGGTGTAAATGTGGGGAGAATCAGGCTCATAAAGGGTTAAACATGATACATATTATTAGCTGTGATTATCAATACATTTTAAGAGGCCCAATAAAGATGCCTATATCTGTGCATTCCTCTAACTTTGTGGAATCATAGAATCATAGAAGATTAGGGTTGGAAGAGACCTCAGGAGATCATCTAGTCCAACCCCTGCTCAAAGCAGGACCAACACCAACTAAATCATCCCAGCCAGGGCTTTGTCAAGCCGGGCCTTAAAAACCTCTAAGAATGGAGATTCCACCACTTCCCGAAGTAACCTATTCTAGTGCTTCACCACCCTCCTAGTAAAATAGTGTTTCCTAATATCCAACCTAGACCTCCGCCACTGCAACTTGACACCATGGCTCCTTGTTCTGTCATCTGCCACCACTGAGAACAGCCGAGCTCCATCCTCTTTGGAACCCCCCCTTCAGGTAGTTGAAGGCTGCTATCAAATCCTCCCTCACTCTTCTCTTCTGCAGACTAAACAAGCCCAGTTCCCTCAGCCTCCCCTCGTAAGTCATGTGCCCCAGCCCCTTCATCATTTTCATTGCCTTCCGCTGGACTCTCCAATTTGTCCACATCCTTTC